TGTGTGTGTGTGTGTGTGTGTGTGTGTGTGTGTGTGTGTGTGTGTGTGTGTGTGTGTGTGTGTGTGTGTGTGTGTGTGTGTGCGTGTGAAACTCGAGACCAGTAAACAAATGACACTAAGACGGATTGCGATTGTTTGCTCATTACGCAAATTGCACGCGATACCAACGAGAGAAAACAAACAGGATCCGGCATTCGTGTACCGCGCCCTTAGCATTAAATTTAGCCACATCGATAGCCGATAAACGGAAGCGAAGGGAGGCGTGTTAACGTTCCAGGATCCTGGGTTACAAGTATAGCGATTTACGCTTAAGAGCGAGTCAACGCGAGTCAATCTCCAATTTAAAATTCGAGAATCACCCTCCGCCAAGAAGGAGCAAGAGCAACCTCGCCAAGAAGGAGAAAGAGGCGAGAGAGAGAGAGAGAGAGAGAGAGAGAGAGAGAGAGAGAAAGAAAGAGCGAGAGCGAGAGCGAGAGCGCTACCGAGGTGCCACTCTCGCGATTCTCAGTTGGCGATTCTCAACGATGTTGAACGCAATCTCCGTATTAGGCAAACGTAAAGCCAAGATCAGAGGGGCCAAATTTAGCGGCGTGCGTAGCGGCACGCCGGACTCACAGAGACGCAAGAAGAATGGACCGAGAGCTTCCTTGAGAAAGAGAAAGAGCGAGAGAAAGAGAGAGCAAGAGAGAGAGAGAGAGAGAGGGAGGGACTGAAAAGCGCGCGACAGCGTGTAATGAGCGCATTTCTGCTCTGTCGTGTGCGGTAGTGGAGAGCACAGGAAGTGGCAACCAACCTTCTGGCCACAGCGTTGGTACGTGTCTAAGAGCTTGATCGTCGAGGCTCGTACCAGGGTCTGCTGGTTCGGGCTACTCTTTTGCAGCGCATTATTGTTGTGCAGCGAGCTAAATGCGGTATTAGCACCGTTCACGGAGTACCGTTGCTGCAGACCGGTATTGTCCAATTGGTAGTCGCCGGTCGATTGGACCAATGCGTGCTGGATCACCGGCTGGCTCACGTTGTACTCCAACTTGCGCTTCTTGCTGTGGTGGTGAACGGTGTTGTTACTGCTGCTGCTGCTGCTGCTGCTGCTGCTGCTGCCGTTGACGCTACTCGTCTGCTGTGTTTGGATGAACATGTCACACATTCCCTGCAATCGGGACGAAACCTTATTAGCCTGGCTGGCGCTCTTTCGAAGAAATGTCAAACGAAAGAAAAAAAAAGAAAAAAAAAAAAAAAAAAAAAAAAAAAAAAAAAAAAAAAAAAAAAAAAAAAAAAAAAAAAAAAAAAAAAAGAAGAAGAGAAACGAGAAGGCAAAAGATACGAGAGACAAATAAAGAAAGAGAGAGAGAGAGAGAGAGAGAGAGAGAGAAAAAGAGAAAATGGTGGAGAGATAATCGCCACCGAGGCGTTGAGATCAACTACTGCGCGACAACCTCGCTACTATCGAACGTAGAGCATGACACTACCCTTTCTCAGTATTTCAAAGACATCAAGGACCAGAGCGTGCCACAGCGGAAAAACGGCGCAGAGAGCACAAAAACTCAGTAACGCCAACGACCATGAATATTTCAGTCCTCATCGTGGACACGAGACCATGTAAGGCTCCACGTCGCTTTGGGTCAGTGCTTTCCAAAGAACCATCCTTGAATATCATATTTCTGCTCGCAAATAACCGTCCGCGTCGCGTCGTCGCGTCGTCTTCGTGCAGAAATTGCACGAAATTGTTGTAACAAGTCCGCCCGGCTAACCTCCTACCTCAGTTGCCGCCGTAGACGAGGCTTTTCCGACTCGCCATCGGCATCTCGTAAATCCGCATAATCCCCTCCGATCGCACTTAGATATACGCGGTATTGTACGGTGCATTTGTGACTCATACACACGACCGAGTAATACCGGGGCGAACGAAACATCCGATCGATCCCTACTGCGAATGTCTCGGAAACGGCGCGATTTTAATTCCACACCCTCTGTTACCCTATATCTGTCGTATCTGAACTGAAAGAAGGGAAAACAAAGAAAAAGGAGCAGAGAGAAAGAGAGAGGATTTTTTTCTGCTTTTCGCCGTCATTTATTCGCGTGCGCGATACGCTCTAATTATAGCACTGGCAGTATGAAACAGCGCCGGTCGACGTTGCGAACAATCTACAGTACCACCAGGTACAGTTACGTTTGAGTTAACCGGATCGGCACCCGTTCGAATTCTAACAAACCGGTGCGCGATGCAACGGACGGACGCGCTCGTTCGTCCACCGGCTGCGTCGTCGTCCTTAGGGATGTTATGGTACTACTAATACAACACAGATGTCGATATTTTTCTTTCGATACCGGGTATTTTTGTATCGATATTTTCTTTCGATATTCATACCTATATCAATGCTACTTCGCTTCAACATCATTTCGATATCTTTTTTGTTCTTTCTCGAGAAATTGCACGCCAAAAATTATTGCAATATACGTGGATAAAGACAATATACGCACAAAACGACATTCGTGATCGATTCAACGCACTTATAAAAATGTGCTTTCCTTTTACTTCAATAAATAGTCAAGAATTAGTGTAACACATGTAACTTATACATTTTAAACTTATCTTATGATTTCTGTTACGTTAATTTTTCACGGTTATTTATTGATTGCTAAAGTAAAAAAAAAAGTATCCTAGCATTTTTACAAGTGTGTAAAGTCGATCAAGTGTCATTTTGTAGGTATATTGTTTTATTTTCACATACACCGCAATCATTTTTAACATATGATGATATTGTCATTAAACAAGAACAGTTATAGCAAGGACAGAGGAGCCATAGCATGTCCTTTTTAAGATTTTTAGATCACAAACCGTAAGAAAGTCCAGTGCAAAAAGTAGAAGTATCTTTATACCATAAGTAAGATTATTATTCGTAGACGTACAAAAGCCTTAAAAGTAGCTGATTTTTATATTTCCTCTAAGTTTTTCTAAGTTTAGATACTACACATGGAAAAACAACCTCAGTCGGAGTGACGTAACATGTTTGGTTAAACAAGATTTAGTTAAATAGAATTTCTAATTGTTATAATGAAATATTCTAGTAGCCAACCAGAACATTTAGGTCTAACAACCGCCAGAGTTTGGTTACCGCTAATCCAGTTGTAATAGCAAGTGACTGCTTATTATGACTAGAAAGCATAGTTGGATAAACGTGACATATTTGGTCAATGACTATTCATTGAACTAAATAGAAGTTCTGGTTATTATAATCGTATATTCTGGCATTCAACACACTGAGGTCAAATATATATAATGGATCTATCAATTGTGATGAAGTGACGTAGCGCTTAGATAAATGACTCACAATCCGCAGCTCTTGGGTTTTCGAATCCCATCAATAAATAAAAGTGAATAAAAAGTGAGTTCTCGAAATACAATATAACATCAAATCAATAAAAAATCAAGCAAAATAATCATACTAACAAACAAACAAAATAATCATATACTTTCTTAGAAAACAACTTTTAGTTGAAAAAATTATAAAATTTCTAGTAAAATATATGAATATAATTTTGTTTGTATTATATATGAATATAATTTGTCTGAATATATTTGTTTGTATTATATATGAATATAATTTTGTTTCCGGTTAACCGAACTTGTCTGGTTATTTCAATCAAACGCTTGCAAAGTCTGGTTGCTTTAACCAAAAATATGGTCCGTTCATATCTCACCAGTCTTTTGGTCGATGTATCCTGAATTCCGACAAATAAAAACAAGATTTGTTTCTTTCCATGCAGTATCCGTATCGATATTTTTGCTCTGATATTGTTATCACTAATGATATCGATACTCCTGATTAGATACCCGTTTCAATATAAGTATCGATACTTTCATAGTATCACAACATCCCCAGTTGTCATAGTCTGGCGCCCCCCGCGGCGTACTCCAGCGCGTTCGTACGGCACTGCCGTAACCGTAACATGCCGTAGCCGCTTTCGAGAGCCGCTCTCGCGCGGACTCGCCTCGGCCAGAGGAGGAGACGGCTGGTCGTAAAAGACGTTAACTTCCGAGCAGCGATAAGAATTTTCGGCGGCGCGGGCAAGAGTATTTGGCGCGGAGCGGAATATGGAAACGCGGGGAAATTCCGCGAAAGCGAATGAGGAAAATCGCAGGCGAACACGCACGGAAAAATACGCTGCCGTGTCGGGTAGAATTAGTCAACAGCGCCACAATTGCACACGGACGGTATTCATAGCTGAATTTTATATTTAAAATATCGCCTCAGAGTTCATCTTCAGATACTACACACGTCATTTTATTAGCTACGGAGCATCTGAAAATGAACTTAAGGATGTATCTGAGCTATATGAAAATAGTACCAATTTGATAAAACTTTGGATAACTTTTCCTTAATTATCTATAATATACTAAAAAAATTTCAAGTCGATTCACTAAACCGTTGAAGAATAATTATTATGTTAATTTTACACGTGTTCTTGTGGTAAAAGCAACTTTCCTGAATGTAATGAGTAAAAACGTATAGAAAAAATAGTACCAAAAATTTAAGTATTTTTATACATATGGATCCTGAATTATCGGAACTATTTGCAGAATTTGATTAGTTTTCACAACACGGTTTCAGAGAAACTAATTTTTATTTGTGACAATTTTGCGATCGTAAGGAGTTAGTAACTGGACTGTGGAAATACGGCAACGTTGCAATCAGCTGATGTGTCAAACGAATAACCTATAAATCAGTATAATAACCGTCGTAAATTCTTGTTTTGTTTACATTGTTTCATGCAAAGGAACAAGAATACAAATTAAATAATTTTAATGGACAATAGGATAAGTGTGAAATTTGAGGCTTTTATTGTTTCATCTAACCTGCCTGCACAGTGCATTATTGTCAACGTACAAGCCACAAACTACATGGTACGCTGTTACTACGTTTAACTTTTTTCATTAAATATTTATAATAACACATAATATTGATAGTTATTATTCAGACAATGCATATTTACCTGTTTTAACTTATCCCAATTACTTTTTCTCCTTTGTACTGATGGATATTGGTGTTAAATAAATACGAGATTTAATGTTCTAAAGTTGAATTCAGGGCATTTTCTCTGCCACAAGTTTTATTATAGAAAGTTGAAAAAAAGCAAATAAAAGTAATAAACTGTTGAAAAAGGAAAAAATATATTTTTAAATAAGAAATATATTATGTTAGCCACTATTTATATCACTAGGTTTACAACACATTTGAAGCAGATATTCAAATTTTTCGTTTTTCAAACACTTTTGTCGCCGATTGTATCTCAGATACATCCTTAAGACGATCTTGAGTACAAGACCTGACTATGAAAATACTGATCAGAGAGAATATTATAGTGAAAATTACTATAGAATCATTGTAAACGAGAAATGTGTGCGTGTGTGTGTATATAAAATATTATGTATATTATATATATTTATTTATTCTGTAGCAATGCACTATTCTTTCATTTCATACGTGTACTATTTTAAGATCTGAAATGTATGTTAAAGCACTTGTTATGTTTCTAGCAAAATATGTTATATTTCTAGTGAAGAGTGCAACTAAATTCGACCCACTTTATTCAGAAAAGTTTTCAATCCAAATTGGTTTTATTTTAGCACGCTGTTTTTAGCACGCTGATTACGAATATGCAAGTTCTAAGGTGAATTAACATACTATTTCGGGGAAAATGACCTATTTAAAATTGCATCCTACTAGATGGCGTCACTTATAAAAAATGTTAACTTGCCATGAAATTTACTTCTTGATAACTCACGTTTGACCATTATCGATTTCGAAGTATAATTCAACAAGCCAACTTGTTGGCCGTGCCAACTGTTTAAGAATTCACTAGAATCGGACGCTTTCGAAATCCATTCAGTCATTCTTTTTCCTGGAACAATACTTAAAACTGTTGCTGCAACTTGCTGAAGATTTTATCAATGGCCATAGTTTCTATTTGTGAAAATAAATAACGCCATCTAGTAGAATGAAATTTTAAATGAGCCATTTTCTCTGAAACAGTACGTCGATCCACCTTGAGATTTCTATATTCGTAATCAGCGCGCCAAAAACTATAAAATAAAACTAATCTGGATTTAAAATTGTTTTTCTGAATAAAGTGGTCACTTGTCTATAAGCACGCACATTTTACTATGTTTTTTAGCAAAATGGATTTTAATGATAATCTATTCTTAGACTAATAAAAATATAATAAAAGTGAAAGGAATTATAAGGAATTATATGAAAAAAAGAAAACTATAATACTCTCTCCGTGAAATAAATCTTCTTGATTCGATTGTATTGTATATTATCAAAACTAATATTCGAGCTATTGAAACAATATATGATTTACCAGTTTCAATAATACCAGTTTCGATAATATTACTGTTGAATCGCATAAGGATAAATGTTCAGAAACATACCTTCCTGGTATGTTTAATATTAAGGTAGTAGTTGTATCGCTAAGTGCCGTATTTTCAGTAACATATCGAGGGGGCTGCACATAAGTTTACTATTTATCGAATAAAATTATGTTTCTATACATTTACTTCGCTATCTAAGCAATAAAAGTTAATTTATTAGTAAAGTTAAATATAAATATACATAATATTACAAATATAAAAATATTGTTTTTTTTTACCTTTTTCTTATTAGTGTTTTATTTATACATATATCAGTTGGTCTAATAGGGATTCGCAGATAACGGAAAGAAGCATATGAGTGTTTAAATATGTACATATATATTTTGAGTGTAAGTATAAATTATGAAATTTCTGTCTTTAAACCAAACGGTTCTAAAATTTGTGTATATCAGTATATTAGTCTTTAATATCATTTTTATTAATATCATTTTTATTAATATGTTACGTGTAATTTTGAAGATATATATTAAAAATAGATATTAAAAATAGCACCTAATTTAAAAAAACACGTATAAAAAGTGTCAGTTTTAGTTGTAAATATCTCAGCTTTCAAATAGTCATTCTTTTTCTAATTGTACGAATAGTTAGATATTACAATGTGTATGTAGTGTAAATTTCATCGAATTCCAACGAAATTTCTTTCGTAATACAAATATCTTTATGTATATTATAGGGAAGATCGTTGCAAGAAATTTTCAACAAGAACCAAGGGACGGCATTGGTTGTTGAGATATAACAAATTGAAATTTAAAATCTTGATGTTTTTCTCTAGATATCATAAACAGATATTACGAATAGTAAAAAGTCAACTACAGTGAGTGTAAAAAGTAAATTTGTACACCAGGCCTTTTTCAAGACAATCTCTGGTGTACGAATACTTTTTACACTCACCGTACATCATATTAATCTATTGCTCATCTCCTACGCGAAAAAAGTCTGTTTACATTTTCTTAGAGAATGGCTATTGTCGACAATTGTTTTCACCTATTTCTGGAAATGCCCAAATTGATTCCACATCAACTATTTTATTGTATGTATTAATATTCACATATCAAAAGCATTTCATTGCCGCTGAAATCTTTCGCTCAACTATAGTCTATCATACACTATAATAACAGATTTTGTTAAAATTAACTAAGATTCCTACACAAGATTTGAGTTTAAGCACGCGACTAATCTCATTAAAGTATTTCTTTGTAAATTTGAACACATCTAAATTTAAACTTTGCGTAGGGGCTTTTACTAACCTTTATATAAGTGCACGATAGACATAATTTAGTAAAGTGATAGATTCGAACAAATTTCGACAAAATATGCAAAACAGGTCTTTGCTAATCTTTTCAGAATTTGTTATTTTAGTGTATGTTAGAGGTAGTCTTTCTTCTCGCGTTACTTTTACGTAATAACAGAAATTGGTCAATATAAACATACTGTTTAAAATAATTTATGATACCACAGAGAAAACATCAAAATTTTTAATCTCATTTTACATAATATCTCAGTAACCAATTCCGTTCTTCATTCGGCTTTTTCTAGAAATCATTTTCAACCATTTTCTTTATAATATATCTCAAATTGAAAAGATTCACAGTGTGACACATGGCCTTTTCTAAATTATATTTATCGAAATTTAAATCAAAATTTGATTAAAAGTTAATTAGATTTAATTAAGGAAATTTATCTTAATTATGTGACGCTGCGAAAAAGTTTTATTGATATATTATTTTTCCATGCAGTAAGTCGACGACTGCGTTACAGTGCCGATACCACGTAGCATCGGTGGGTAGCATCGGTGGGTGGCTTCCGCGAAATTCGCTGACATTATTCGACTGACATTACTTTCAGGGTGATAGTTCTGGAATAATCCGTCGAGTCACGCGGGTGAGTCAGACGTATTCCGAAAACGAAGTAATGAAACTTTGCGTCACCCTCTAGCGATCGCGCTCGTAATCCACGCGTGTGTGTGTGTGTATGTGTGTGTACATATACACATACATTCTTATACGTGCACATGCGATCTCGTGTGTACATTCGTGCGCGAAAGTACATAGGTATGCATCGCTTTATATTCCGCACGATGAGTCAAGCTGATCGATTGATGAACGGTGGAATCCAAGTTTACTCGCCGCTCAAACGATCAAATTTCGTCGCGAATTGCGTGGCGGCCAAATAACGGCGAAGCTCGGCTGTATGATCGCGTAATGTGTCGCAAAAGAGATTTACTTCAATTATGTCGCGCGCGCGAGAAAGAGGGAGAAGGAGAGAGCGCCGGTAAAATCTTCCGACTGTGTCTTCGAAGGACTTTGCGAACGGTTTCTCTTCGCAGACGTACTATTATATAGCCTGTCACTCTGATTTTCATCGATCCCCCCGGCTTGCATGATCTTGCAGTTTGGAAATCAAAAATAGATTCTTGTAATTTTTTATGCGCTGAATTGCCGAGTCCGCAAATAAAAATGATCTGTCACGTTTACGAGAAGTTCTGTTAAGTTTACGAAAAAATGAAATTTAAACTGTCCAAAAATTTTAAAACTTCATAGCCGATAAAGCCAATTCTGTAACCTTCGAAAAGGGCTTAAATTAATATTTGAATATTGTACTTTAATATAAAAATATCCACTGAGAAAAAATATCTAAAAATTAAAAAATTAGATAGGTTATTAGGTAGGTACTATTAACATATTTCATTAAAATTAAAAAGTCAAATTTCTTTTCATTTAAACCGAATATTGTTTACTCGATTTAAGTAAACAATACTCGGTTTAAGTAAACAATACTCTGTTTAAATGAAAAGAATTTTTATTTAAGTAAATATGTTAATGGTACTCACCTAATAAATATTTGTTAATTGTTAAATTTTTTTTTTCTCAGTGTCAAATCATTTATAACAATCATCTTATTATGGACCACTACAAAACTATTGCGCTTAGTGAAAATTTCAATAGTGGATTCAATAGTGAAACTGAAGGTACTCTTTTGTAATAAAATGTTTCTTTTCCATTTGTTTAAAATTTTGAAAAATAACGATTTGCCAAATCACAACTTCGTAATTCTATTGTATAAAAAAACTATATAAGTTGCAAGTATTATATACAGAGTGTCCCAGACTCTTCTCAGCAATTTTTGTGGGAACGTGATTGATACTATAGATTAATACTATAGATATTAATTAAAGAAGATTAGTGGATGATCACGCGCGATATGATAAATGAGCTGTAGTAGCGACATGTGCTGTTGTGTGCTTGTACATTAGGTTAAATTAAGGAAAAAGTTCTTTATCATTTTTCAAACAACCACGTAGATTTTCAGTTATTAATGAAAGAAAACTGTTACATGATTGTGCACGATAATATACAAATTTTCTTTAATTAATATCTAAAAATTTATGTAGTTATTTGCAAAATAATAGAGGATTGTCTTGTTCAGTTTGACTTAATGTATACAACGGCAGACGGCACTGCAGTTCATCTATCATATCGCGCGTGATCATTCACTAATCTTCTTTAATTAATATCTCAAGATTTATCACTCATTTTCTCAAAAAAAACATAAGACATATGTTTACTTCAAGCCGTTTTAACAAAAATTGTAGAGAAGAGTCTGGGACATCTTGTATATCTAAAACTTTTTACAAAATATAAAATTGTATGTAGCATACCGCACCATGTGACACACTGCGCAACTACCTGTACATTACCCCTAAAGACAAAATGTGCCAGAAGTGCGATGATAACGGCGATAAAAGATTTTTCATAGTAAAACACAATGTTAAAGCATAAGTTTGAGCCCTTTTCGAGATCTTTCGCACATCGAATTCGTTGACTACGAATTTTCAAAAATAGTCAAGAACTTTTTTGGAATGTTCCAACCACATTTTCTTTAGAAGTTTGACGTGACGGAGCTTTTTCCTTGGCTGCGCTGCACAAAAGACTATGGAAAATTACTCTTCTTTTCCTGACCGCACGAAAAACAGTAAAATTATACAGACCTGTATATTCAGAAATAAACGTAAAAAGAGGAGAGGGGTTTACCCGCTCTCGTCGAGTGAACTTCACCACCGGCGGATTCGACGATATATCGCCCCGCGAGGTCTAATTATAATTTTTACGTAAACTCGCCCTTGCGCAAATAAACGTGCGGCCACGCGGAATAAATCGTCCGCTCGTTATTGCTGCGCAAGACATTTTGCGCGTACGAACCACGAACGCGCAGAGCTTTCGCGGAACCAAGTGTCGACGTCGACGAAGACGACGTCAACGAAGAACACGACCACGACGACAACGACGACAGCGGATTAAGCAATCGCGTTACACAAATTAACACACAATGAAGTCACACAATGGACGCGTGCGCGTTCTTATAGCGTCAGCCGTATCGAAACACTCGAGCTTACTGCTCGAGCAGAGCAGAGAGACCGAGGCTCACGCGACACGCAAAATATTATTCATTTTTCGCCGAAAGACATCGCGAGGACGAGCGGCTCGCGCACCATCGCGTGTCCCAGCGAAACGCAACGTCGCGCAACATTCTTGCTTTCTACTCGCCGATCGACCGTCGGATAGAAAAGTGCCCGGCAGAGGTACGAGGAATGCGCAAATCCTACGTACGACAGCCGTGAGTCCGACGAATGAAATATTACCGACCATAAGAGGGACCATCAGTGCGCGACCGAACAACCACTGAACGATACGTATATATTGATCAAACTTCTTTCAATGTGACAGAAAGACGAGCCGCCCTCCACACAAGGGAAGAGACACTACTCGTCGCCGATGTATGTTTACCGCGCGCTGGATTTTGTTTCGAGCGAACGCGACACGGACCATTGCGGACAGGAAGTTGAGGAAACCCTGCGCGGTAATAATGGCCTGTGCGGAGCGAAGCGTAAACCGAAGTGGAATATCGCGAGGAAAAGGCGATAGAAAGACGGCGGTGTGCGAGTTGCGTTGAGGTAGGTTGCATCGTGAAACGCGTTTCACGTGAGAATTCGATGAAGCCTGCACTACGTGCACATTAATTAAGGTTGTAGTATAAAAGGAGTTTTTTAAGAATTCGTTGTGAAACTTGCATTATATAACTTGCACTATATATAGATGTAAATATGTCCTAAGTTAAAAGTACCAATTACCTAATCCTGGACATTCGTATTGTTTTGGTTTTTAAATACGAATATTTAAACTTTGAATATGAAATATATGCATATACTCAATATTTGTATATATATATTTTATTATTGAAGGCTATATATATATATATATATATATATATATATATATATATATATATATATATATATATATATATA